CGTTGTTGTTTGGCGGGCCCGGGCTGGATTCAAACCCGCCACCTTAGGTGTATGTGGCTGGCGCCTTAGCCACTTGAGCCACAGGCACCAAGCCAGGGCTGTTGGTTTTTAAGGCTGCTATAGAGTGGGAAGAAAGGAATGGGAATGGGCATAAGCCAAGTTTAAAAAGCCATAAATAGGCATGGTGGCTCACACCTGTAATCCTAGCACTCTGGGAGGCTGAGGTAGGTGGATTGCTTGAGCTCAGGAGTTCGAGACCAGCCTGAGCAAGAGCAAGACCCTATCTCTACTAAAAATAGAAAAACTAGCCCAACGTGGTAGCAGACACCTGTATCCCAGCTACTTGGGACGCTGAGGCAAGAGAAGCACTTGAACTCAGGATTTTGAGGTTGGTGTGAGCTATGACACCACGGCACTCTACCCTGGGTGACAGAGCGAGACTGTGTCTCAAAACATAAAAAAATAAAATATCATAAATCTGCTCTTTATACTTAGATTCAGCAGTTTTTCTCAAATAAAAATTCCTCAGATTGTTGTAACTGTTCGTTAATTTTCAGAGTTCTGAAAAGTTGGCTTGAGGATCTTTGTCCGCGTTTTCCTTGCTTTTCTGGAGGAGCAGGTTTATGGAGGCCCCCACCTCACCCCTGCAATGATAGTCTCACCCTCATTTAGCTTTCCACAGCAGATTGTACCCACTGTTTATCTTATTTAAAAAATTCTTGTTTGTGATTATTTGGATACTTCTCCTCCCCTAGAATATATAGAATGTAGATTTGTTTTTTTCTTTTTTGAGACCAGAGTCTCAAGCTGTGGCCTTGGGTAGAGTGCTGTGGCGTCATAGCTCACGGCAACCTTCAACTCTTGGACTCAAGGAATCCTCTTGCCTCAGTTTTTCTGTTTTTAGAAAAACTGCTCAGCCCCATCTCTGTTGGGGTCCTGACCTGGGGGCAGGCTCTGCTAAGACCTGTGGGACTGGTGCAACCGAATGAAGAAATATAAAGTTAGGAATGATGATCAAGAGATGTGAGACACAGAATAGAATTTTCGAAGGTGGGAGCTCAGGGCTTGAGCTATTTCCTTGGTCTCTGCCCCAGCCAAATGCAAATCTCCACAATGGGTATCTGCTTTGTGTGTTTAGTGGGCAGGAAATGACCTAGAAGGTGTATCTGGTCTAGGGCTTGTCATAACCTCTTTTATGACCATTTCCTTCCTCAGAGTGTTCACAGACTCAGCAGGGTATTGGTGTAAGCTGTGTCCCCAGTAGGCCAGAGTTTCAGGAAAGGCCAGAAACTTGTTCAGATAAGAAATTTAACAATGGCTAGCTTAAAGGTAAACTAGCTGACTTTTCTTTGTTGCAACTCAGTCAGCTTACTTTTGAATTTTCCCTTTTTCTGGGGGTGCCCTCCCTGCTAAGAATGGGGTCTTGGTCCTCATTCTTCCTGCAGGTCTCGAACTCCTGAGCTCGAGAAATCCACCCCCTGTGGCCTCCCAGAGTGCTGTGATTACAGTTGTGAGGCACCATACCTGGCCTCTTTTCTTGAGACAGAGTCTCACTCTGTAGCCCTCGGTAGAGCACTGTGTTATTATAGCTCACAGCAACTTCAAACTCTAGGGTTTGAGCAGTCCTCTTGCCTCAGCCTCCCTGGTAGCTGGGACTACAGGTGCCCACCATAATGCCTGGCTATTTTTTTCTATTTTTAGTAGAAACAGGATCTTGTTCTTGCTCAGGCTGGTCTCAAACTCCTGTGCTCAGGTGATCCACCTCTCTTGGCCTCCCAGAGTGCTAGGATTACAGGCGTGAGCCACCACTGCTGACCAGCATATAGGTTTCTTGGGGACAGGAACTCTCTCTAGCACATTCAAATCCTTGCACATAAGCAGGTATTAAGTAAACTATAGGTTGGAAAGTACCCCCCCACCCCCCCACACTTCTTGTGGTCAGATGACACCAAATGTCTCCAGAAGGCAAGGCGGTCTGACTTCCTTCACATCCAGCGCCAGCTCTGTGGCAGGCAGGCAGGCAGCCTTCTGTGAGCTATTCCCTGGAGAACACCATTTCAGTCCTGCTCCTAGCCTGTTTGTCACAGAGTTTAGGGTTCATTATCTTGCAACAGACGAATCTGTTCAAATATAAAATGTTCAGCAGTGATGCGTCAGGTGGTCCACTGTTGTAGATAAGAAACAAAGCTCACGGTTCGGCACCTGTGGCTCAAGTGGCTAAGGCACCAGCCACATCCACCTGAGCTGGAGGGTTCAAATCCATCCCGGGCCACTAAACAACAATGATGGCTGCAACCAAAAAATAGCTGGGCATTGTGGCGGACACCTGTGGTCCCAGCTACTTGGGAGGCAGAGGCAGGAGACTCGCTTGAGCCCAGGAGTTGGCGGTTGCTGTGAGCTATGATGCCACGGCACTCTACCCAGGGGGATAGCTTGAGGCTCTGTCTCAAAAAAAAAAAAAGAAAGAAAGAAAGAAAGAAACAAAGCTCACAGTCTTTGCCTTCGTGGAGCTTATAGTTTAGAGAGATAGCACAAAGACAAAAGCAAAATAAAATAAAAGCCCACAACTGTTGAGTACAGATCATGGTAAGTATTGTGAAGGAAAGACAATGGTGTTGGGATGGCAGCTGTAGTGTATTCACAGCGACCACCTTTTCTTGCAATGTCTTTGCGTTTGCGATGTCTTTGCATTTTGGGCACTCATCTATCCTTTCGCAAGATGGTTCTCAGTGTGTTTTTCATTTTCTTTGGCTCCCTGGGTTTCTTAGACTGAATAATTTTAAATTCATTTATATTTGTTCACAAAACTTTCCGCCTTACATTTACCTATCTAACATTTGTACAATTCATTGTTTAATTCCATCTTCCTCTTAGCATCACCTGACACTGAGATGGTTCTTTCCATTCTTGTTTTCCTAAATACCTTTGAAGAAAACCTGGGTCAGATATATTGGGAAGCTATTCCATTGTAGGGGGTGGGGGTAAGAAAATACATAAAGGGGCTGAGGACTGAATGGTCATAGGGATCCAGTTAGAGTATTGGGTGGGTATAGACATAGAGAATCCAGTATTGACCTTGGTTCTCACTGGCTGGGGGCCAATAGGGGTGGCTGCTAAGTGAGGGGGCAGGAAACTTGTGTCATGCAGTGGGACTGGAGCTTCACTTTTAAGAGGAGCTCTCAAAAATCAAATCCAGGCTTATTGTTCATTTATTGATCCCTAATATTTAGTGTGAACTTAGCCTATTTGTGGGGGGGAGGCTAGAAGTGTTGAGTATTTATGTTCCTCTAGGCAGCAGGACCCCGAGCCTGAGGAGTGTCTCCTCACTAATTGGGCTGTCACTTTCTCTTTGGCCAGTGTTTGTCCAGCATGATGCTGCTCAACTCTACCTCACAATCTGGAACCTAATTAAGGACCAAATCACTGATGTGGACTTGGTAAGAACCAAGAACTAGAGCACTCAGAAGTTTGAGATGCTGCTCACGTAGCTCCTTTCACTATCGTTTATGCAGTGTGTCGAGAGGCATAAAAAGAGTTGATTCCCATAAAATGCTTATATGTTCCCTAATATTGTTACTGTTATTCTGCTCCTTTATGCATAGAGCAAAGAGCATTAGTGACGACCATTTCTGGAGCTTCTGTCTGTTGGCTCCAACTTGGGGAAACTGGTCTGACCTGGTCGATGGTTTTGCACTCGCCTGACCTTATGGTTTTGTGCTCCTCCCTCTTGCAGGTAGAGAGGCTTCGGTCCCTGTATACAATCGAGACCAAGGAGTCCTTGGTTTGCCTTGATTGCACAATGGAGAGTAGCAGGAACAGCAGCCTGTTAACCCTGCCCCTTTCTCTCTTTGGTGCGGACTCAAAGCCCCTGAAAACACTGGTGAGGGTTTCTCTCGGTAGATTTGTTGTACCTATGTGTCCGTTTTCTGTTGTTATAACTGAATGCCTGAGACTGAGTGCTTTATAAAGACAGGGAATTTGTTTCTTACAGTTCTAGAGCCTAGGGAAGTCCAAGGTTGAACAGCTTCATCTAGAGAGAGACTTTTTTTTTTTTAAAGAGAGCCATCTTACTGTAGAGACTAGCTGCAGTGTCCCAAGATAGTGCAGGGCATCAGGTGGCAAGGAAGCTGAGCTTGGCTAGCTCAGGTCTCTCTTCCTTTTCTAATGAATCTACGAGTCCCATTCCAACCCATGAATCTATGAATGACTTAATTCATTCGTAAGGTCACAGCCCTCATGATCCAGTCACCTTCTAAAAGCCCCAACTCACCATACTCACATTGGGGGTTAAGTTTCAACATGAGTCTTAGGAAGGACAAACATTCAAAACACAGCACCATACAACCCAGTGTTGCCAAATCCCCCTGGCTTCTTTTATCTACCCTTTGTTTTTGTTTTTATTTTTTTAGACACAGAGTCTCACTTTGTTGCCCTTGGTAGAGTACTGTGGCATCACAGCTCACAGCAACCTCCAGCTCTTGGGCTTAGGCGATTCTCTTGCCTCAGCCTCTCAAGTATCTGGGACTACAAGCGCCTGCCACAATGCCTGGCTATTTTGTTGTTGCAGTTTGGCCAGGGCTGGGTTGGAACCCGCCACCCTCCGTATATAGAGCCGGCCAGCACCCTACTCACTGAGCCACAGGCCCCGCCCTACCCTTTGTTTTTAAAACGTCACTTTTTATTACATTTGCATGGCCTCTGGCCAAGATCTCTTTTGTTTTGGAAAAAGCCATTTTTTTCCTCCTACTTCCACTTTCTTAACTCTGGTCCCTTAACAAATGCCCCCTCCTGCTTTGTTCCTTCAGTCAGAAAATGCTTTTCACAATCCTGCCAAGTGTACCACACCAGGCATGACATTAAGGGGGACATGAAGAGAACCAGAACAAAAGCTTAAATCCCCACCTGCAAGGTGCGAGGAGGTTGTACTCAAGATGCGAAATACCAACCCTGCTTTTTTCTTGTTCTCCTGGGTCGGATAGGAAGATGCCCTCCAGTACTTCTTCCAGCCCAAGGAGTTATCAAGCACGAGTAAGTGCTTCTGCCAGAACTGTGGGAAGAAGACCCGTGGGAAACAGGTACTCATCCCCTAAAATCAGATACAGTCCCTTAGTATACATGGGGGATTGATTTCAGGACCCTCACTTTTACCCAAATCCTGGCATACTCAAGTCCCACAGTCTGCCCCGTACAACCTGTGTATATGAAAAGTCAGCCCTTCCTATGTGACAGTTTCACATCCTATACATACTGTAACTTTTGGTCTGCGTCTGTTTGCGGATGTGGAACCTGTGGATGTAGAGGAGGGTTGACTATATTAACTGGAAGAAAACTTCGTATATAAATGGACCCACGCAGTTCAAACCGGTGTTGTTCAGGGGTCAGCTATGCTTCACTAGTCTGGGGTTGCCGCTAGTCGATTTCCCAATAGAGTCTTCAGACTCCTCAAGGGCTCCTCATGGTAGTTGAAGGAGAGAATCCAGGTCAGGCTAGTATCTGGGATCCTGGGGTTTCTGATTTCCAGAGCTGTACACGTGGCTTCTCAGATCACATCACTGAGAGGGACAGAGCCTTCTAAGGACAAGAGAAGGTTCGAGTACAGAGGGCAGGGTTTTTTCCCTCAGCTCCCTAGAGCAGACTCTGTAGTTCCCTTGGGTTCTGGGACCTGTGCAGAGTCCTGGGACTGCATGTGCCTTTTGTGTGGAAACATGTAGGATTGTAATAGTCAAGTGCTTACTTATTCTTGGAGGGGCTCAACAGATGCAGTGAACGTAAACCATTAACTCTTGTTATATCATGCTGCTCTACTCTTTTGGGGGAAAATGTACCACCAGCCCTGACATTTCTGTGAATCTACTCATTTCAAGCGCCTTAGGATTTTATCTCCACGGTGATTTGGCTTTTTCAGGTCTTGAAGCTGACCCACTTGCCCCAGACTTTGACCATCCACCTCATGCGATTCTCTATCAGAAATTCACAGACTAAAAAGGTGTGCCACTCACTGTATTTCCCTCAGAGCTTGGATTTCAGTCAGGTTCTTCAAACTAAGCAAGACCTCTCTGATGAGGAGGAACAGGTAGGTGAGCGGCTCCTTACCTCCTTCTCCCGGCATCTCACCAGATAGCACGCCCTCTATTTAGACTTGTCCCCCTAGTCCCTAATCTGCTTCAAGTCTCCCATTCATCAGAGATAGCATTCTTAGGTGTCTCCTCTGTGTCATTCTCTCATCTAAGAAATCACATTCTCTGCTGGCCTTGCTTGGGATACACCGAGAGAGGAAAACAAGAGTTTGGTGTGATTCATAGAAGCAAATTCATATATTCGGTGTTTACATTTTTAACATTATCTTAATGATGAAAATCTGTGTGTTCTTGAAAAACAAGGATGGACTGTTACTACCATCAGTGCTGTTCGTAACTACTGTTCTTTTCTTTTAAGATTCAAGACTTTCTGGACGAGCTTGGTGGCTCACACTTATAATCCTAGCACTTGGGGAGGGCAAAGCAGGTAGATCACTTGAGCTCAGGAGTTTGAGACCAGCCTGAGCAAGAGTAAGATGAGAGCCCATCTCCAAAAAAAACCTACTGGCCAAGCCTTGTGGCAGATGCTTATAGTCCCAGCTACTCGGGAGGCTGAGGTTGGAGTATCACTTAAGCCCAGGAGTTTGAGGATGCTGTGAGCTATAACACCATGGTTCTCTGCCCAGGGCACAGAGTGAGACTCTGTCTTAAAAAAAAAAAAAAAGGTTTTAAGATTTTCTTTATTTCCAAATATTAAGGGAAGGAGCCCATCCATAATTCAGTATTTTTCTTTTGAAATAACACGTGGAATACTTTCAGATGCATAGGCAAATATGATATTTTGTTTTCTTAGTACCAATTACTTTCTTATTAAAACAACCTGTGGGCTCAGCGCCTATAGCTCAACCGGCTAAGGCGCCAGCCACGTACACCTAAGGTGGCGGGTTCGAATCCCCAGCCCGGACCCGCCAAACAACAATGATGGCTGCAACCAAAAAATAGCCGGGCGTTTGTGGCGGGCGCCTGTGGTCCCAGCTACTTGGGAGGCGGAGGCAGGAGACTCGCTAGAGCCCAGGAGTTGGAGGTTGCTGTGAGCTGTAATGCCACAGCACTCTGCCCAGGGGGACAGCTTGAGGCTCTGTCTCAAAAAAAAAAAAACAACCTGTGTCCACTTGGAGGCTAAAATACCATCTTTTGCCATGTAAAATGTGCACCCATGTCTTTGATCCAAACTTTCAGGAAAGAAACATTTGGTTTTAATTTTTTTTTTTAAGACAGTTTTACTCTTTTGCCTTGGGTAGAGTACTATGGTGTCATAGCAACTTCAGACTCTTGGCTGCAAGTGATTCTATCGCCTCAGCCTCCTGAGTATCTAGGACTATAGGCACCCACCACAACAGCCAGCTAGTTTTTCTATTTATAGTAGAGACAGGGTCTCACTCTTGCTAAGGCTGGTCTCGAACTCTTTTTTTTTTTTTTTTTTTTGAGACAGCGTCTCACTATGTCGCCTGTGGTAGACATAGTGGCATCACAGCTCACAGCATCCTCAAATTCTTAGGCTTAAGAGATTCTCTTGCCTCAGCCTCCCGAGTGACTGGGATTATAGGCGCCCGCCGCAACGCCCGGCTATTTTTTTGGTGCAGTTGTCATTGTTGTTCAGCTGACCCGGGCTGGGCTCGAACCCGTCAGCCTTGGTGTATGTGGCCAGCACCCTACTCACTGAACTATGAGTGCCAAGCTGAACTCTTCTTTTTTGATTAGCTGTGAGATTTTTTTTTTTTCAGGTTTTGGCTGGAGCTGGGTTTGAACCCGCCACCTCTGGCACATGGGGCCAATGCCCTACTGCTTTGAACCACAGGTGCCGCCCAGCTGTGAGATTCTTAAGGTCAAGAACTATTTTCTAGTATCCTTGAACTACCAGTACCTGGTATACATCAGGAAATGTATAAATATGGGATGAAATTATGTGTTTTTTAATTTAAGACTAGGGCTAGAACAGGAAGAGTTATGGGTGAATCATTTTCTTTCGTTCCAGTCTGGAGGACAGTACGAACTCTTTGCAGTGATTGCCCACATGGGAAGGGCTAACTGTGGTCATTACTGTGCCTACATCAGGAATTCTATGGATGGAAAATGGTTCTGCTTCAATGACTCCAATGTTTGCTGGGTAAGAAACGTCATCCAAAAAGTTGCCACTTGCTCTGAATTAGCCACCTTTAATAAATTCTGAGTTCAAGACTGCATAGGTCCTCAAGAGCAAGACATTTCGTGGTCGTATTTTCTTTGGGGCCTTTGACGAGGTTTAAAACCCATTTCTGCAGGAAGTCCCCATCAAATTTACAGCTCTTAAGAGTCCACTTCAGTTTCTAGGTTTTTGGTATTCTAGGCTCAGTGCCTTACAGACTCATGCTTTTGTGGGAAACGTCTGGAAAACAAGAAGAGTTAGAAATATATAAATTAGGTCTTTTGGAGAAACATAATAAAGTTTAAACAGAGGTACAATAGACGCTTCAGGTTTGGGGGAGTTACTAAGGGTGGGTTTGTCTGGAGGAGTGAGGGAGGGAAAATTATAGCACCATGTAGTCTGTGGGTGCTTAATAAATGTCAGCTGGCTGCTTGACTCATTTATTTATGTACTTCCAGGTGTCCTGGGAAGATATCCAGTGCACCTATGGAAATGGTACCTACCTCTGGTAAGGAAAGCATTTGAGTAATGAACACCTGACGAGCTTACACAGGGTTCTTGGAGCTGTATGAAATTGTTTGGGGTTCAGTTGTTACTATTACACTGCTGACTCCCCAGAGACTATCAGCTAACCATGTTTTTGTCACAATTTAGACTCTAGTCATACTGAAGTATAAGTAGCTCTCCAAACAACCATGTCCTCCAACTTTCCCCTGCATCTTGCAGTTGCCCGCTCCTAATTTACCACATAGGCAAATCCTCACTCATGTTCTAATATTCCTGGTCTTTTCCTGCTCTGTGAAGTCTTTACTAATTCACAAATAGATTTGTAGGGGGCTCCCATCTGCTTCTGCTGCATTCTGAGCATATCTCCTTTACAGCAAGGGTCACATTGTTTATTAACTGTTGCTTATATAACTTGCTTTCACATTAGATCATGAACTCTTTGGGGAAAGGATTGCTTTTTTTATTTTTCTTTATCTGACTTACTTACAGTGAGTGTCAGTAATCATTTTTTAAAACCAATAACTACAGAAGGGGACCTGGGGTGGAGGGAAGTCTGGATGAAGTTAAAGCAGAGAGGGTGTTTAGTTTTTTCAGCTGAGTTTTCAGATGGCATACCAAAGATGGTATTTATGATGATTTTCGGCTGCAGAGGTAAGCCTGATCATTGGAAAAATAATCAATTACAGTAGGTGAAACACGTCTGAAATGCTCCTTCTACTTTTCATCTTTCTCTTCTGTTTCTTCTAAGCATCCTTCTTAGATGCCCAATCTTTGTCACTTTTTGGTTGTATTGATTCCCTCATTATCTAAATCAGGGTTTGGCACATTTTCTCTGCAGAAGGCCAAAGAAAAAATATTTCAGGCTTTATGGCCCATATAGTCTCTGTTGCAACCACTTAACTGCCCAGTAGCACAAACGCAACCCTAGATAGAACATAAGCGAATAAGCATGTCTTGTGTTCCAGGTAATTTGCCAAAAAACGGGGTTGGATTTGGTGCATGGGCCCATGGTTTGTCAACTTCTGATTTTCGTATTAACTAATAAAAACTCAGTGGTAGGCTCGGCGCCTATAGCTCAACCGGCTAGGGCGCCGGCCACGTACACCTAAGGTGGCGGGTTCGAATCCCCAGCCTGGACCCGCCAAACAACAATGACGGCTGCAACCAAAAAAT